CAATCCCCTTGGGACGTTGAATGAATAATGAGAAAGATCGAAGATAAAAAGCAGATCCAACTCTGCCTACGCAGCTAAGATGTCCACCTCCGATCATTGGTGCATCCAATCTCACTGCTCGTCGAAATGTTCGATTTGTCCGATCATCTCAGGCGTAGTTACCTTGAAAAAGTTATCGTCAACTTGTAATTCGGATTGAGTGATCTCGACTACCCGCACGGTTCGAACAAGGTAGCTCTATTTATCGTGCGACAGATCTTCGGTACTACCAAATGGATGGATGTCAAGTGTAGTAACACTGCAAAAAGGTCCTGGACACCACCGCCAAGACGAATATCACAGACACCGAAATGGAGAAAGACGTGACGATCAGTTTGATCTGCGAGATTCGAAGATGTCAGATCACTTTATTCTGAACCTGGATGAGTATCACGAGACTGTGGACGCATTAAATTGAAAGGTGTTGATGAATGACCTTATGGAGCAACAGAGGAAGAAGGCAGCAATGGTGGATGCTGGTAAATAGATGCTTCACTAATAAACGCGAATCTCGATACTCTGTGTACAGCGGTAAATTGGAGTACACATCGTGGGGAGATAGCTGTACCAGCATAAGCTTAAGTACGACTATTGAGGAGATCCACGCAGCTTCTGCAGCTTGAGGGCATTGATCAATGTTCACTGAAAGATCATGATGAAAACAGCGAATACAATGAGAAACGCTTTGTCTTGTGGACATTGATGGGTGTCAATGGGTAAGAGGCTTTGTCGAGGAAGCTTGGAGAGCACGAAGGAAGTCTGCACAGGAAGTGGAAACGACATGAATAGGAGAAGGTAGATTCAGAAGTGTTGATTCATCGGAGTTTATTCTGCTTGCACCCTGATGTATAAGCTGTCCACAAATCGAATCATGTAGGTCTTTCAATCGAGCAGCTCGTCTGATGAAGTCTGATGTCATTATCGTAAAATCGATGCTGTAAATACTACGCTTGAAGTTCGGATTCAAAGAGTGACCATCCAGACCACAAGAAACCGCTCACGTAATCTCAACGAAGTTGGTGTGTCACGTTGTGACCAGAAACATCGCCGGCTTTCGCTCACCCACTGGCACATGAGGGTGCATCGAATGTACCAGTGCTTCATTCTCAAGGTAGCCTGAGTGGCGTGGACGCCTTTCAAGAAGTTTTACGGCGACTGGCAGGAAGCAGAAAGGATGGCGCAATCCCCTAGGGACGTTGAATGAATAATGAGAAAGATCGAAGATAAAAAGCAGATCCAACTCTGCCTACGCAGCTAAGATGTCCACCTCCGATCCTTGGTGCATCCAATCGCACTGCTCGTCGAAATGTTCGATTTGTCCGATCATCTCAGGCGTAGTTACCTTGAAAAGGTTGTCGTCAACTTGCAGCTCGGATTGAGCGATCTCGACTACCCGCACGGTTCGAACAAGGTAGCTCTATATATCGTGCGACAGATCTTCGGTACTACCAAATGGATGGATGTCAAGTGTAGTAACACTGCAAAAAGGTCCTGGACACCACCGCCAAGATGAATAGCACAGACACCGAAATGGAGAAAGACGTGACGATCAGTTTGATCTGCGAGATTCGAAGATGTCAGATCACTTTATTCTGAACCTGGATGAGTATCACGAGACTGTAGACGCATTAAATTGAAAGGTGTTGATGAATGACCTTATGGAGCAACAGAGGAAGAAGGCAGCAATGGTGGATGCTGGTAAATAGATGCTTCACTAATAAACGCGAATCTCGATACTCTGTGTACAGCGGTAAATTGGAGTACACATCGTGGGGAGATAGCTGTACCAGCATAAGCTTAAGTACGACTATTGAGGAGATCCACGCAGCTTGTGCAGCTTGAGGGCATTGATCAATGTTCACTGAAAGATCATGATGAAAACAGCGAATACAATGAGAAACGCTTTGTCTTGTGGACATTGATGGGTGTCAAAGGGTAAGAGGCTTTGTCGAGGAAGCTTGGAGAGCACGAAGGAAGTCTGCACAGGAAGTGGAAACGACTTGAATAGGAGAAGGTAGATTCAGAAGTGTTGATTCATCGGAGTTTATTCTGCTTGCACCCTGATGTATAAGCTGCCCACAAATCGAATCATGTAGGTCTTTCAATCGAGCAGCTCGTCTGATGAAGTCTGATGTCATTATCGTAAAATCGATGCTGTAAATACTACGCTTGAAGTTCGGATTCAAAGAGTGACCATCCAGACCACAAGAAGACGCTCACGTAATCTCAACGAAGTTGGTGTGTCACGTTGTGACCAGAAACATCGCCGGCTTTCGCTCACCCACTGGCACATGAGGGTGCATCGAATGTACCAGTGCTTCATTCTCAAGGTAGTTTGAGTGGCGTGGACGCCTTTCAAGAAGTTTTACGGCGACTGGCAGGAAGCAGAAAGGATGGCGCAATCCCCTTGGGACGTTGAATGAATAATGAGAAAGATCGAAGATAAAAAGCAGATCCAACTCTGCCTACGCAGCTAAGATGTCCACCTCCGATCATTGGTGCATCCAATCTCACTGCTCGTCGAAATGTTCGATTTGTCCGATCATCTCAGGCGTAGTTACCTTGAAAAGGTTATCGTCAACTTGCAATTCGGATTGAGCGATCTCGACTACCCGCACGGTTCGAACAAGGTAGCTCTATTTATCGTGCGACAGATCTTCGGTACTACCAAATGGATGGATGTCAAGTGTAGTAACACTGCAAAAAGGTCCTGGACACCACCGCCAAGATGAATAGCACAGACACCGAAATGGAGAAAGACGTGACGATCAGTTTGATCTGCGAGATTCGAAGATGTCAGATCACTTTATTCTGAACCTGGATGAGTATCACGAGACTGTGGACGCATTAAATTGAAAGGTGTTGATGAATGACCTTATGGAGCAACAGAGGAAGAAGGCAGCAATGGTGGATGCTGGTAAATAGATACTTCACTAATAAACGCGAATCTCGATACTCTGTGTACAGCGGTAAATTGGAGTACACATCGTGGGGAGATAGCTGTACCAGCATAAGCTTAAGTACGACTATTGAGGAGATCCACGCAGCTTGTGCAGCTTGAGGGCATTGATCAATGTTCACTGAAAGATCATGATGAAAACAGCGAATACAATGAGAAACGCTTTGTCTTGTGGACATTGATAGGTGTCAATGGGTAAGAGGCTTTGTCGAGGAAGCTTGGAGAGCACGAAGGAAGTCTGCACAGGAAGTGCAAACGACATGAATAGGAGAAGGTAGATTCAGAAGTGTTGATTCATCGGAGTTTATTCTGCTTGCACCCTGATGTATAAGCTGTCCACGAATCGAATCATGTAGGTCTTTCAATCGAGCAGCTCGTCTGATGAAGTCTGTCATTATCGCAAAATCGATGCTGTAAATACTACGCTTGAAGTTCGGATTCAAAGAGTGACCATCCAGACCACAAGAAACCGCTCACGTAATCTCAACGAAGTTGGTGTGTCACGTTGTGACCAGAAACATCGCCGGCTTTCGCTCACCCACTGGCACATGAGGGTGCATCGAATGTACCAGTGCTTCATTCTCAAGGTAGCCTGAGTGGCGTGGACGGCCTTCAAGAAGTTTACGGCGACTGACAGGAAGCAGGAAGGATGGCGCAATCCTCTTGAGACGTTGAATGAATAATGAGCAGAGATCGAAGATAAAAAGCAGATCTAACTCTGCCTACGCAGCTAAGATGTCCACCTCCGATCATTGGTGCATCCAATCGCACTGCTCGTCGAAATGTTCGATTTGTCCGATCATCTCAGGCGTAGTTGCCTTGAAAAGGTTGCCGTCAGCTTGCAGTTCGGATTGAGCGATCTCGACTACCTGCACGGTTCGAACAAGGTAGCTCTATATATCGTGCGACAGATCTTCGGTACTACCAAATGGATGGATGTCAAGTGTAGTAACACTGCAAAAAGGTCCTGGACACCACCGCCAAGACGAATATCACAGACAACGAAATGGAGAAAGACGTGACGATCAGTTTGATCTGCGAGATTCGAAGATGTCAGATCACTTTATTCTGAACCTGGATGAGTATCACGAGACTGTAGACGCATTAAATTGAAAGGTGTTGATGAATGAACTTATGGAGCAACAGAGGAAGAAGGCAGCAATGGTAGATGCTGGTAAATAGATACTTCAGTAATAGACGCGAATCTCGATACTCTGTGTACAGCGGTAAATTGGAGTACACATCGTGGGGAGATAGCTGTACCAGCATAAGCTTAAGTACGACTATTGAGGAGATCCACGCAGCTTGTGCAGCTTGAGGGCATTGATCAATGTTTACTGAAAGATCATGATGAAAACAGCGAATACAATGAGAAACGTTTTGTCTTGTGGACATTGATGGGTGTCAAAGGGTAAGAGGCTTTGTCGAGGAAGCTTGGAGAGCACGAAGGAAGTCTGCACAGGAAGTGGAAACGACTTGAATAGGAGAAGGTAGATTCAGAAGTGTTGATTCATAGGAGTTTATTCTGCTTGCACCCTGATGTATAAGCTGTCCACAAATCGAATCATGTAGGTCTTTCAATCGAGCTGCTCGTCTGATGAATTCTGATGTCATTATCGTAAAATCGATGCTGTAAAGACTACGCTTGAAGTTCGGATTCAAAGAGTGACCATCCAGACCACAAGAAGACGCTCACGTAATCTCAACGAAGTTGGTGTGTCACGTTGTGACCAGAAACATCGCCGGCTTTCGCTCACCCACTGGCACATGAGGGTACATTGAATGTACCAGTGCTTCATTCTCAAGGTAGCCTGAGTGGCTGGACGCCTTTCAAGAAGTTTTACGGCGACTGGCAGGAAGCAGAAAGGATGGCGCAATCCCCTTGGGACGTTGAATGAATAATGAGAAAGATTGAAGATAAAAAGCAAATCATTTGGGACAGGGTTTGCACTTGTTGGTCCGCGTCCACTTTCCAACATCTCATCGCATGGTTAACAAGCTCATGCGATGCGCGAGCAAGGCCGCCGAGAGCGCGTCTGCACGTCTCTGTGCGGACGCCGAAGCAGAAACAACAGCAACTGATGTCCCATCGGTTGCTGTAGCGACTCAGCCTGTGTCACCTGGTGATGCAGGCGCTGGTCATGAAGACACTCGTGTCTTCACAGAGTACGAGCTCGGTGTCTCGTACTCTCCTGATACGGATGATGGATCCGTATCGACGGCGATTGAATCTAAGCCGCCTGCCAAGCGTGGCATGGACGATGCTTTGCGTCGCAGCATCTTTGGTTCATCTGATGAATCAGATGAACCATCGCCGAAGCGAAGGCGCTCGAGGTCGCGAGACTCGGGCGCTTATAGTGATGTCGGTTCTCCAATGGACACCACTTCACAGCGAGGTGCCAGTACTTCTGTCGGCACGTCGCAGGAAGAGCGGGACCGCAATGTGTTGCGTCTCGCTCCTGAGAAGAAGGCATGGATGCCTCCTAAATCAGTCATGGATCACTTGTCGGCGACGACGAGTGATCGTTATCGAACACGATTGTTCGATTCGTCAAGGATTCATCACCTTGACCCCAGCGCGAAAAACTATCGCGCTGAACACGAATTCTTCATCGATGCTTTCTTTAGACATCGATGGTACAGTGGGAATCACAAACGTGATGGTCCCTCACTACTTCAGGCGTGGAACGCCTACATCCATAACCCTGATGATGCAGGTCGTGACGCTTGGAACGACAAACTTATCAAAGCTCGTGTTAAGTTTGAAAAGCGAACTCCGACAGTTGCACGCTACAAGCTGCATCGTCTGTCAAGGGAGATAGGATTACCCTGCCTCTCTTGGGGAGATTCGTGCCCGTGTTGTGTAAACAACTCTGCACGAGCACCTAAGGAGGCTTACCTCCTTACCAGCCCGTGGTGGCGCGTACGTATCTCTACTGAGATGTACTAAGGGATTGACAACTTGAAATCCCTTTACGACCGTGCCGGGAAGACTTTCTCCGGCGGTCCTTCTGCGGCACAGGATGTGCCGCGTCGTACTGCTCAACCAGACCCAGTACGTCAACCATCAGTTGGGAGCGGGGCTCCCAAGAATCCCAGGACGGGGGATAGCCGCGCCACCGGACGAGATAACTCGTCCGACGTCCGTTCACGCCGCGGTGGTTCAACAGCTGCTCAACTAGATAGCGCTGGCCACCGCGAGAGTCCTCTAATGGAGGTGGAGGAGGAGGAAAGACGCTCTCCACACGATCATGTGGATCGGTGTGTTCCCGAGAGCTTCTTTGATCGCGTAACGCAAGGGTTACGCGACGATCTCGAGCATGAGCGGAATAGGCGTCTCCAAATGGCGGACACTGCCTCAAAGCATCGGGCTGAGTTTGCCTTTGCTCAGCTCGAGAACGAGAGATCTCTGACATCTCTTCGTGACGAGCTAAGGGTAGCTCGTGGGATTGCTGATCGGTCTCAGGCTGAGATAAATGCTCTTCAGACCCTTGTTGATGCCCACCATCGGGAGCACAAGACTCTCTGCGAGATGCTTGAGCGCAAGGGCGTTCTTCATCGGAAGAAGCAGCGTACTGATGGTACGGCTTAAGCCCGGTTACGTAAAACGTGGGATGCGTTCGCATCTTACGTGGTAACTCGATCGTGTATGCATTGCCTAGGCGGTGCAATACACGAAAAGGGCCAATGTACTTGGGTAGTAGTTTACTGCTACCCAAGTTAGTCACTACATGCTTTGGTAGATTAACCGTAGACAGTAGGACTAAGTCACCTGTACTAAATAAAATAGTGTTTGCCCTTCCATTCTTGTCAGCGTTTTGCTTTTGCTTATCCACCGCTTCGGCGATGGAGTCTTGCACAAAACGGACTACCGTTTCACGAGCCAGTATGAACTCATCTGATGACTCGTTAGCTTCAGTGTGCTGTGAGCGCACTGCAGCAACAACAACCTTTTCTTCAGTAAGGGCTTCCGCACTCTCACTGTGATCATTGTCTTCGATATCGATGTTATCGATATCGGCATCGAACGCAATGACTTCTTCGTCAGAGCGTGATGAGCGTGAACCAAATCGGTTTTTGCTCGCGCGAGTACCTCCCCCCCTTAAACCAGAGTTACACTCTAGTAAGGTGGGTACACGCGGATGGCGCAAGCCATTCACGTAAAACGGTGTATGTGTCGTGGACGCATGCACCGAGTTGTTGATGGCAAACTCTACCATTGGCAAAAACTCACTCCAACTCTTTAAGGAGTGTACGTATCCTCGAAGTATCTCTTCAAGGACACGATTGGAACGTTTCGTCTGAACATCTGACTCTGGATGATCAGATGTTGACATCTTCAAGCGCGTTCCGAGTGATTTGAACACGGACCGCCAGAAATCAGCAGTGAATCGTGGATCTCTGTCTGATACGAGTTCACGGGGCAACCCATGAAGTCGGAAGATGGTGTCAATACAGACACAAGCACAGCCACTTGCCGTGATTGTCTCTGGTACAGCCACAAGGTGTACCATTTTGCTGAATCTGTCAACAAATACGAGAATACCCGTATTCCCGCGTGCGTCTTTGGGTAACCCGAAGACGAAATCCATTGAGATGGATTCCCAGCACTCAGCCGGAACCGGTAGAGGCTGTAAAGGTGCACGCAGTGAAGGACTTGACTTCACTCGTTGACAGACTTCGCATGCGCGAACATACTTTCGCACAAACTGATACTGGCGGGGCCAGTAAAAGTCTCGACTCACCGTGAGATATGTTTTCTCTCGGCCACGATGTCCTCCTATAGGAGCATCGTGATACTCGAACATGATCCGCAAACGCAGATCAGTATCATCTGGAATGACAACACGTGGTGTGTCACCAGAAACGGCTGTATAATACAGTAACCCGTTACGAGTAGTGTATCGATCTGATGCAGATCGATACGCAGGCGACAATCGTTTCAACGATTCTCGGGATGGTTGGGAGAGATGTGACAACAACTTCACAATCTCACCATCTTGGGCGTATGCCCGCCTCACATCATCATACAACGTTGTAGATGGGACTGATGACGTCATAACCGCAACAGTGACTGTCTCACTGTTGGGTTTCGCGACTGGTTCAAAGTCGGGACGACGTGAGAGTGCATCAGCGACGACATTAAGTCGTCCTGGTTTGTACTCGACCGTAAAGTTGTATTCCGCAAAGAATGACAACCACCGCGCCATTCGTTGTGAAAGGTGCGGGCTGTTCACTGCCGTGCGTAATGACGCATGGTCAGTGTAAACAACGAAGGGTCTATCTCCTAATAGATAGACTCTGAACTTCGCGAGTGCATACTTCATGGCAAGGAGTTCCTTGTCATGCACTGGATAGTTCCGCTCAGCTGGTTGCAGCTGACGCGACTGATAGCAGACGACGCGTTCAACGCCTTCAAGATCGTACTGCATTAATGCACAGCCGATTGCGAAATCGCTGGCATCACAGACCACATGAAATGGCCTGTCCTGATCGGCTATTGCTAGGACTAGGGATTGTATCAAGCTCTGCTTGATACCCTCAAAGGAGCGTTGACATTCAGCGTTCCATAACCACCTCTCGTTCTTTTTCAACAAACGAGAGAGGTGCACAGTCATCTCGGCGTAATTGCGTGAATACTTGTGCAAATACGCCGCTAGCCCAAGGATTTTTCGAAGACCTTTGACATCGACCGGCACAGGCCAGTCGGTGATCGCCTTGATCTTTTCGGGATCAGGACGTACACCGTTCTTACCAACGATGCACCCAAGAAGTGGTATTTCGCTTGCTGCAAATATACACTTCTTGAGGTTAGCATGTAATTGATGCTTTCGCATGATTGTAAGAACTTGTCGGACGTGGTACCTGTGAACCTCAACGTCCGACTTTCCATCCGTAGCTCGACTATGGATGAATACGTCATCGAAATAACTCGGCGCGAATTCTCGTACTCGTCTCAACAGATGTGATACACATCTGTTGAACGTGGCAGGGGCATTACTAAGCCCTTGTGGCATTACTAGCCACTCCCAGAGCATGCCGCTAGGCGTGCTAACTGCGGTATAGGGTATATCCCGTTCTCGCATAAGGATTTGATAGAAGCCATCCATCAAATCCATGGACGAAAAGATGGTACTCTTTGACATACCATCAACGATTACGTCCTTCCTCGGTATCGGCGTCTGAGCCGGTACCGTTGCAGCGTTCAATTTGTTGAACGCGTGCACTATCCGCCACCCTCCTGTTGCTTTTCGCACACAGAAGGTCGGAGAGCTATGTGGGGAAGTTGATTCCCTCACATGGCCCGCAGCTAAACGATCGGCAAAGAACTTGTCGATCGCAAGTACTTGTTCACGAGGCAGTGGCCACTGCTTCATGACACAGTACTTCGAGCCTGGTTTAAGCTCGACCTCGTGTCGAATACCTTTGTCCTTCGGTGATTCGCACGGAACAGTTTCAGGGAATACATCCTTGAATTCAACCAAATCTTCATACAGAGGATTTTTCTTGAGCGATTCCCATGATTGGGAGTCATATCGCTCAATTCGTGTCTTTTCATCTAGGACACTCTCGTCCATAGATGAACTACTGAGAACTCTCTCGCTCTCAGTAAACACTGTTGCTGACCTTATGTCGGTTACACACTCGTCGTCAGCGACGAGTATGCAGATCTGCTTGACTTTGCCACTACGCAGATCACGCAAGAACCTTTTATGTTCGAGCGTTGGCAACTGAGTGATCTCCGAAGTTAACTTCGGAGGCGCAATCAGATCAAGTGTATAAGCGCCTACACTTGATCCGTTATTGACTATGACATTCAATGTCTCTGTCATTTCCTGGGGACTTATTCCCTCAGGTTTTGAAGGAATTATTCCTTCGTCTTCCCGGGGACTTATTCCCGCGGGTTTCGGGGAACTTATTTCCGCCGTATTTGTAATCTTGGGACTTATTCCCTTTACTTCCTCTAGCTGGGGTTGCGCAACCACAGCGAGATCCTCTACGAAAGACTCTCCAGTCGATCTAGGATTATCGTTTCGCTTAACCTGAGCGATCGATTGTTTCTCTTCTAGATGTTCCCCGCTAGGGATACATCTTTGTCCCAGTCCACCCGACTTATTCGAGTGGTGAACCTTCGGCGCAGCCTGTGTTTCCTCACAGCCGCCGGAACTTTGCTCCGAAGTGTAACCGTTTGGTACACTAAGGTTTTGTGCAGTCGTACTAACGACCGTACCACAAGTGAGGCCATCGCACTCACTCGTAGTACATCCACACGCTTGTGGACGCTCCAAAACGTTCATCAGATGGCCATCTGATGAACAAGCGGCAGGCATCGTTACTGTTCGATGTTGCCAGTTTACTCGTGGTTCGTACCTTCTGAGCCACGGTATTCCAAGGATGACATCGAATTTGTCATCCAAATCCAATACGATAAAGTCATCGTCATATTGGGTATCTTCCAGCGTATAGTGGATCTTCACTATACGCTTCATGACGGTTACGGATGCGCCTGTCGCAAGACGTACCGTCATCCTCGTAGGAGGTGTGTCACATTCACTAAACTTAAAGTGACCATCTTCTAGCGATTGGCGTCGCACAAAATTGTTGGATGCCCCACAATCGACTAGAGCTCGAAGGGGCAACTTATTCGTCACTTCGAGTTTCAAGGTAATGAGTGAGACCTCATTACCTAGAGCAGCAACGCACAACGTTTGTGTGTTGGGAGCAACCTTCATCAAGAGGCCTACAAATTCTCTTGACGTTGCTAGACCAGTAGGGTGCTCCGCACCTACTGATCCTGTCCGTTTTTTGACGGTCCATCCCGTTGTTGCGTCTTTGCACCAACTGCGGACCCTCGTCCCTGCCCCTTTCTCATGGGTGGACGGTCACTACGCCCAGTGTCGCGAGACACTGGACGAGGGGCACTACACTCGTAAGCGTAGTGTCCTGTCTTTTGACATCTGTTGCATCTCTGCAACTTCTTGTAGCCTGTAGAGCGAGCCTTCTCGCTCTCTACATAACAGAGTTCCATCGGCTCTGGACCTCCGTTGTCATATCGTCTCGGTTGACGATATGATGTCGAGCTGGCGCGAGCCTGTCTCAGACTGAAGTCTTCCGGTTCCGCAATGGAAATGGCTTGTTATAGTGAATCTAGTTCAAGCCGGAACAGGTGAGTCTTGACGGGACCATCCGCAAGACCCTGCATGAACACCGAAAATAACGTGTGTTCATCCACCGGACTGGAACTTATACAACTCGTGAGATGTCGTGTATGTTGAGCGTAAGCGTGCACATCACGCTTACCCTGCTTGAGCTTCAAGAGTTCGGTTCGAGCCCTGAACTCAGCTCTGGGCGGTTCAAACGTTTGTCTGAGCCGCGACTTGAAGACTTCCAACGACCCAAACGCATATGGGTCGTGAAACTTGAGCCTCAAAGCCCAAGTCTTGGCACGTCCTGCCAGATTTGACTGGGCAAATGCAACTTGCATATCCCCGTCGTCGATGCGACGCGCCCTTATGGCGTCATCCAATTCGACGAACCATCTCAAGAGGGAGTCCTCTTCGACTCCCCTATACTTTGAGATGTCAATCTTCA